ATGCACAGCACCCTTCTCTACACCTCAGGACACAAGCCCTCTACGAGAGCTTTACTGACAGACCCGATTGCACTTCAGTAACCTCACTGCTGCATACTCGGAGGATGGCTGAAACTCTTCCTGTGCAAGGCTTAGAAGAGTATTATGCAGTAACATTCAGGATAACAAGAGTTGCACATTTTGTGCGTTGTGGAGTATGCACAGAGATCTCACCTAGGAAGCCCCACATTGGGATGCTATTGTAAAGAGAGGCCCCAGCTATGCTGGATGCCCTATACAGGGGATCTAGTCCTCCAAAGCAAAGGTTGTCAGTCTAAACGCAAAACACCAGAGAAAGGATAAATGGACAAAGGATTTGAAGACGACAAATTAGTACAGTGCAAAACTAGTACTTTTGAGTTGCATGTTTTCCTTCTCACTGGGGAAAAGCAGCAGAGTAAAAGAGATGAATAAGAAAGAATAAGGGCAAAGACAAGGCAATAAACTCTTTTCAGACTCCCATCCTTTTTTCCCAAAGGATACAGTGCTTTGGCAATGCCAACTCATGCAAGAGAGGATTAGGATTGAATGTGATAAGGGCACATGGCCATTAAGATTTTATACATTTTGGAAGGGTGTGTTGTGCTTTCACAGGAAAAATTTAAGCCTCTTCTACAAGTCAACTGGCTGCCAGATGTTCAGACAAGCAAGCCCAAGCAGATACCAAGCAAAAAGTGGAGTGGGGTAGCGGTTTAAAATTAAGATGGTAACACAATGGGTTAATGAAAGTTTTGTAGCCTTAGCATTCATTTCTTCTACACCTGCCGCTTGCATTTTTGGAGTTTGGTTGTTTTGGTTTTTTGTTTTTATGGTTTCTCACATAGTTTCTTCTATCTTTTCCCCCAAACAAAACTATGGGGGGGGGGGGGGGAAGAAAAAAAAAAAGGACAATGAACAAGAGAGGTAGCAATGGCTGGCCAAAAGGTAATCAGGTAACAAAAAAATCACATGACTAGTTTCCCATTCCAGGTCTACTCAGTTAGGTATAGCCATGTTAATCAGCTATGTCTCGTTTTAGCAGATAGCAAGCATGCTGCTGCAAGTTCTTGCACAATGTGCATCTTAATGTAGGCCTGCAGGCACTGTAAGAGGAAGTAGTCTTAGCCTGTGCAGAAGGGAGAAGGGAAGTAATTGTACAGCACACACCCCTCTCTAGCCTTCTTGGAGATTCACATTCAGTCATATTAAGTTGCGTATTGTGAAGGGAAAAAATTAACTTGCCCTAGACAGGTGAGGTAGAGAGCTGTAAAAAGTAAAAAAAACAAACCCAAAACAAATACGCCAAATCCTGAAATCTCAAAAAAGGTGAAGTGGAGAAGAAACGGCCAGCTACAACATCAGCAATCAGTTTCAGATCCCACTCTGTGGAAAGGACGCTGGTGCATAGGCTATAAAATGGACCAAAGTCCTGTTGTGTAACCCATGCTGCCCTCTTGTGGCATACTGATGCACAAACACATTTAAGTGTGTCCCGGCCTTAAGCACTGGATACAGGAGCTTGGTGAAAAACTACTCCACATTCACTGTTTTAGTCTTCCTTTACCTGGAAGCAGTTTACAAAACCCAGACATGGTACTTACCTTGGATCATTCCCAATTCCTGTGGGTATGGACAGGATGAAAGTGATGCAGCTCAAGTCTTCAGAGATCTGCACTCCAAACCTAATGTAGGTTAGACCTGTTGCATGAGTTTCTTCCCCATCTTGTTTATGGGCATCAAGAACTAAACTACTGGATGGTGTTAGTGTTGTGAGGTTAAGTGCAATAGTAACACTGTTTTGCAAGTGATGGTGACAGTGGCAGATCGGGGGGAGGGGCAACAACTTTAAACAAAACCCTGGACACAGAGAATTCAATTTCTCTAAATTTTATTGGCACTGAAAGAAGAATAGGATATGGACTTAACAAATCCCCCCCCCAAAAATTAACAAAAATAGGGTGGTCTTTGGGTTAGCTACATGGATCCATGAGTTGTTCCCATAACCCTAAAATCAACTGGTATTTTAACAAAAAAACACCAGTCAAAAAATATGTAGACAAATTTACAGCAACAACCCTCCCACCTCCCCCAACATCCCACCCCCCAAAATAATAAAAAAAAAAAAAAAAAAAAAATCTGGGCAAACATTTGATAGGGTAACAATCCTAAAAAGGATGGTAGGTATGTATCCAAATAGTAAACAAACTGGGAAGGGGAAAGGGAAAATTAACTGTATTCTAACAAATAAAAGTCTAGAAATCTCACTGTAATACTGAAAGCTTCTTACATTAACTCTTTTCTTGCAAAATATCATCTCTTTACAATACAGTATACATTTTCAAGGGAGAAGGAGACAAGAGTCCTCTTCCCATTACTAATATTTTCTAATTGTGCATAGCTAGAAAGACTGAAATCAAATATCATTAGATACCACTGGAATATAATACTGGTAGGAAAAGGGCAGGGCTGAAACAACTACACAAGGAGTTAAGTGGACTCACTGGCACAAAACCGTTCTATTCCTATACTGGACCATTTGGAATTAGAACAAGACAAAAATTATAAAACGGGAATCACGCCAGCATAATGCAAGAGTTCAGCAGTATTCTATGACCCAATCACAATATAAAGAGGTTTACTGGTTTATTGTTTGACCACACATATTCCAGGCACTGTATCTTCATTAGGAAATTGTTAAAAGATATGGTAAGGGCTTTTTTTTTTTTTCCTTTTCCTTTTTAAATGCGCCAGTAGTTGCCACGGACAGAACAGAACTGCTGAGAACCAGCCTTAAAAGCACCAGAAGTGAAGTTTTAATGGTTGTTTGTTCTCTCGGTAATGAGACTCAAGTAGAATCAGTGCCAATAATTCTTCAGTAAAGAAATATGCAAATCAGTTCTGACAAGCTTAACGGCAATGTTTCGTTTGTAACTTTCAAAGCACTGGGGTGTGTTTTTGGCTGATTGTAAGATTTCCCACTCTCCTAAAAGGCACGTTGAGTCTGGGGGAGCCCAAAATGAAATGGCTTCAAGAATGCACACCTTGGGTATTCTGAAAGCTCTACTGTTAACAGAGGTTTATTTGGTCAGCATTCATGTAGTTCTCCCCTCAAACTGGCATAGCTTCCAAAAATAATTACCAATACCAGTGGAGGTGGTTTCAGACAGCACAAAAGATTCCCAGAGAAATACTGCCATTTATTAACACTGACAAGACTGTTTTTGGCACATGCTGCCCCCCACCCCCCGCCACCAGCATCTCACTGAGCCCCTTCTTCCCCTCCATACAGTGGGTTAGAAGTGCTCTAGAATAAACCTTCAGACGTTCTCCTATACTCGCTCTAGTGCTGACAAGGACTTGCATGGACAAGGGGGAGAGCCTCCAGAGCTTAGAAAGTTGCATAGATTTAGCAGCACACTGAGCAAGAAAAGTACCTGAAATCTAAGGAGGGCAAAGCAGAAGTCAATTTTAAAGAAAAAAAAGGCTTTTCTGAACTGGAGCATTCCCTGCCTTTTCTTCCCACAAAGGTTCAAGTCAATGTCCAAGTCAACCCTGAGAAGACATGGCTGTTTCCCAAGTGACCAAGAAGATTATGTTTAAGCTACAATGTGGACAGAAATTAATAGAAGTCTACTTGGAAAACAGGACTTGCTAGACATTACAACCATGGTAGAGAACAGCTAGCACAGGACCTCCCATCTCCCCTCACCAGAAAAAGACACAAATGATCCTGCAAGATTAAAAGGATTTTGTTCTCAAAGTCTCAAAAAGGCAAGACATCTTTCCAAAGGGAAGGGAGAGGTCCCAAGCTAGGAATAAAGGGTGGTGCTATCTGATGATTAAGGCAACAATAACAGGACATTTAAAAAAAAAAAGCTGTCTGTCCTGAAAGGAATAAAGTATATTCCATCTCTAGTCTGGTCCAACAGCAGAAGCATGGAGGGAAAAGAAAGTTTAAACTGATGACAAAGCAGATTTTAGATTAAAAAGAAAATAAAAGAAAAAAAAAATGCATCCAAGTCTGTAATTTTGGTCCCCAATTGGTACAAACCAGATTCAGTTAGAAGACACTTTGTTAAAACCCTGAACTACATCTGTATAGGTGAAGAAATCATAAGGCACCAAAGCTTACATTTAAAAAAGAAGGCCTTTTCTGGAAGTCTTTAATTCTGTGCATGAGTAATGTATTGTATTCAAACTTGTTTGGTGGTTCTATCTGCATTTGGTTGGAACCCACCTGTTTTTTTGCTGCTACCCCTTCCCCTTGCCCCTTCTCCCCCATCCTTTCCCTATTCTATTTTAGGGTTGTGAGCAGAACTTGCAGCTCTTCCTGAGCTCTCTGCTACTGCTGCATTCAAACAGCACTGGCAAGACAAGTGGCAATGAGCAAGGATTTTACTTTGAGAGGAGACTCCTCTCTTGGCTGACTGAGAAATTTGCTGCTCCAAAACAAGCCATCTCAATGGAAAATGCCAAAGCTACTCTAAAGGATTTATCACGAGAAAAATTCAGAGTTGTGTTCTCCACCAAAGCTGTTATCTATTGGATTGTGCAGAAGTGAACACTGACAGTGTACAGAAGATCAGTTTGGCCTGCTCAAGTTCAGGGGCAAAAGCTTTGGTCTTTTAGCAATAGCAACTGTATCTCGCTTCCAATCCTCACCTTCCCACCCTCTCAGTTGGGGGTCAGATCCTATGCTAAAGCAGAGGTCTAGCCCCTGGTTAGTAAGTTATAATACTGCAACTCTGAATGGGTGCCAAGGTATGGGTTTCAAGATGGCTGCATTTTGTCATAAAGAACTCAGTGGAAGCATCTGATTGGACCTCCACCCTGCGGAACAAGGCGGCAGTGCAGTTGTTTCAGTAAGCAATACAAAGCTTTATGCAATGGAGCCAAGCAAGAAATTCAGATTTGTCACCAGCAACAGCTACCTCCCCTCCCCCAAGAAAACATGGGCATTTTATTTGTTCTTCTGTTGCTGTCTGCACAAAACTTGATAAATAAGACCAGGGTCATTCTTCTGTAGTGGTTCCAGCGCAGCACGATTACACGTGAGTGACGGGAGAGGATGGGAAAAAATGGGGAGTGCGGGGACGGCAGGTGCAGGAGAGTTTACATGGACTCAAACTCATCAATGCGCTGCTTGGTGTTGCCCTGTCGAATCTGGCGGAGGGTCTTGTACTTATCTCGGCCCTGCCTCATGTTCTCAGCATGGATCATGTCATTGGCTGTCTTCTTGGTTTCATCCCTGGCATTTGCCAGCTCTGAGGTAAGAGCCTTTGGTGAGGAAGGGAGGGCGGGGAGAAAGAAAAAGTTAGATTAGCACAGGCTGCAACTCCACAATGTGAGATTTACACCTTCACTGGCTGATCTTAAGGGTGTCCCCCACCCCCCAAAAAAATTCAATTTAAAAAAAATGCTGCCCTTGGGGACTAGAAGCATCCTGTCTACCTAACTCAATCTCTTTCTATGTTCACAGGGTAGAAGTGGGAGACTGCTCTGGCAGTCACTAGTGAGAGAGACAGTAGCAAGACTGGTTTATTAAAAGAAATCCCTCTGTCAGTGGCAAAGAGTTCACCCCCAAGATGCTACCAATTCCAATCTGTCTTCATAGCATCACTGCAAAGTGCAGTAATACTGCAAATCAGGACATCTGGACAATCAGCGATTCACAGCTACACCTGCAGAGCTGGACACAGGCAACATCTGCCTATTTAATGCTTCTGAGTGACCTTTCACAAGACCCAAGTTCAGTCCAGACA